ATTATTGGACTGACAATTGTCAGTTGGAAAATTTTTACATATTGCCCAACCCTAATCTTCACTGTTGATGAGAGTTTCCCAGCAAGTGTCCAAGCCCCAAGAAGGCGCATCAGGGCAGGAGTAGTTCTCAAGGTTTTTGCGTTGTGTACTTTTCCTCCACAGTTAGACCATCACTGCAGAATTTTACATTAATGTTCTGAAGCATCACAGAGGGAAGTGTGCCTGCTCACAGTGGGTTTTAAAACAAATTGAAACAATATTCATCTGTGTGCTGATTCTTAGTTGCTAATTAAAATATAAGTTCACTTAGTTAATTCAAGAGGATAAAACTAAAAGGGTCATATTCAAATCTGATGCCTACCATCTCTTCCATCTGGATTCAGCATAGTTGTTAAGACAGTAGAGTAGATTTACTGTTATTAGCTGTCATTTCAAATCTGTGATCTGTGCCTCTTATATGTGAACAACTCTTGCAGTTATATTGGGCGGAAACGAATGCAGGTGGACCATCCAGAGAAGTCGTTACCAAACATCCACAATCTGGTGGAGGCCGACTATTCCTACTGGACTCTTGGCTACATGTTGTCGTTACAAGGAGCCAAGAAGCTCCTCGGTGCAGATCCTCTAAGGAAGATGCTGCCTGTTGACGAGTTCCTTCCTGTCATGTACAACAAACATCCAGTGTAAGTATAACCCATCTGCTCTCCACGTGTTCTCTTTGTTCCTGTTATCTGCCTCCTCTTTGTGATTCCTCTTCTGTGGCGCTCTTGTAAATCTAATCACATCCCCGCTTGTCTCGCTCATCAGATCAGAGTACATGGACCACTTTGAGCGTCGGGACCTGCGTGCATTTTCTGCTGAGCCGCTTCTGGTGTATCCGACCCATTACACAGGAGACCCGGGCTACATCAGTGACACGGAAACATCAGTAGTCTGGGACAACGAGTCAGTCAGGACCGACTGGGACCGAGCCAAGTCCAGGAAAACTCAGGAGCAAGAAGAGCTGAGTTTCGAAGCCCAAAACTCTGACGTATTGCAATCTGAACTGGAGAACTGGAGCGCACGGGACGAGCTGTGATGAAGGAGGGAAGATTTGAGGAGGAGTTAGAGAGAAAGAACTCTGGCATTCATTCAGAGATAAGACTGAGGGAAATAGAGCAAAGCTGTGATAGTGGGAGGAAATAGAAAATATGGAGGGAATCTAACAAAGTGGTGGAATAAAGGAGTCATAGTGGAACAGATGGACAATGGGCTGATGAGGAACAAATTATTTTTCTCTCTTCACTATTGAATCTTTCTCTTGAGAGAGGAGGTTAGATGTAGAGTTAACTCTTGAACAGTCAGCTGTCAGCTTTTGTTTTATTTATTACATCCCATAGACGTCCCTTGTCCACCGCTGGTCTCTTAATAGTTTTTAATATGAGAATTTCAGATGCAGTTTTGCATGTCTCCAAAAGACACTCCAGTAATGTTTCAACTGTCCAGAGCAATTTCACCAATACTTTCCCTAAATCACACGTTAAAGCTGCAGTATGTTCTGAGTTAAAATGTGACCTCCTAAAGAATAACAAGGTTATATTACGTTTCTTCTTCTACTGTCTAAAATTCTCTCTCTGGAGAAAACAATCACCAAAACATTTCCCAACATGGTTCCCAGCATGTTTGGCCACTTATTAGGGCTGCACGATTAATCGTTAGAAAATCGCGATCTCAATCCATACTTATGTGCGATCTCATTTCCAAATGACAACGATTAAAAAACAAAAAAACAAAACAAAAAACACGACGACAATTGTACCGCATTTTGATCCGGGACGTAATCTGCATGAAAACAAGCGCTCACTCTTCCTGCTCAACAAATGACAAGGGCGGAGCCTTATACCACGTGATACAGAAGCTGTGCCGTGTGATGCTAAAATTAGCAGGGAAAAAACAACGGAGAGCACGTCAGGGATGACGAAAAAGTGACAGGAGAAAATCCGTCCCGTCAACCACCCAAACATCAATAACGGGAACCTTATACAGCGCTTCCCTATACACGTCGAACTCCCGCAGGAACAAAGAAATTACGGAGGCTATTACTTAGCACCTGACGAAAGATATGGCTCCCATCAATACTGTGCAAAACGAGGGATTTAGGAAAATGATCAACACCCTAGACAAACGCTACACAGTGCTGTCCCGCAACTATTTTTCTATTGTTGCACTACCTGCTCTATACATGCAGTGTCGAGCAACGACGGAGACGGAATTTCAAGCAGTACAACATTTTGCGGCAACCACAAAACGTGAGACATTTGTTGTTTTTATGTTTATTTATTGGCTTTATGTTCAGTCTCAACTGTTACGAAGTTGATGTGCAGTTAATAAGTGCAATAAATATTTATATTGGAAAAGAGAATCGTGAGAGAATCGTGATCTCAATTCTAAGCAAAAAAATCGTGATTCTCATTTTATGCAAAATCGTGCAGCCCTACCACTTATCCCTCTTCACTGGATGGATCCGTTCCACCAAGACACTTTTGGTCATTCATTAGTTTCAGTTTAACAGCTTTAACAGTTTAGAAGGACTAAAATAAACCAGCAAATCTAAAAAATAAGAAAAACCATATTAACATATTGATAAATATCGATGATATCGATATATATAAATTTCCTGTAAATTCATGTCGTGAAACTTCATATTTCTATTGTGATCACATCCAGGTTGGGAACATAGACTGTACAGGGAAGATGGTGTGGGCCACTGTGACATCAGAAGAGCATTTTGAATGCTTGGATTTTTTACGGCTTTCATCCTTTATTGTCTGAATTACTCTAAAATTAACAATAATTACATAATGAAAATCATAAGAAATCAAACTGATTGAAACCAGTGAGAAGTAGAAGAACGAGTAGCTCTCTGCTGGCCATTGGGTGGAAAAAATGTCAGTTTAAGATCATTCTCACTGGTTTCCCTTTTCAAACCATGAGGCTACGTTCATCTTTCATATTCAGTCTGTTGCTGGGAATCACCTCTGTTCGCCTTTTCTGACTCTTAATACCTTGATCTTTAATTTAGGCCCAAGCAGCCATTGTTATTTACTACATGTTATGTTTTGGGAGATTAATTTTAGGCTTACTTATTTGTAACTGATGAATGTATCTGTTTTACCTGTTACCAAAGGATTTGTTCACACTTGAATAACAGCAGGATTGATTTTTGTATTTCCTTAGTTCGCAGCTCATATTGCAGTTTTAACCCAGACTTGCAGCTTTGGTTGTATTTTTGTTTGTTAAAACAAATGAATATAGATTTTTTTGTAATACCTCTAAAGTCTTGTCTGTTCTCTGTGTTTTCAAAGTGTGTCTTTTTTGCTTTGTTTTTACCAAAGGATGACTAACGCCTTTGATATGAAAGGATTGGTTGGTTGACATTTTTTCTCCACTGGATTTAAGTTAGGCTGAAACAGGGAAACGCTAGAGCATCAGCACCTCAAAGCTCAGTTAAATGTACATGGAAGCACTGACACGCTGCCGGCTGTGGTTAAAGCTGCAGTGGCTAAAATATCAAAGTATCTGCTTTGCCTCCTTTATTGGCACACTACAGTTTTATTTAAGCACAGACATGAATGTTATTTAATTAGTGCCCACTGGTGTTTGCCTGCCCTGTAACTACATAATGCTAAGCTCTGGTTACAGCAAGCCACCATTACCTCTCCCCATTCATTGTGTTTATACTCATTATGGCTTACTCATTGCTGACCAGTGAAGCGTGCTCGTTCTACACCGACTGCCCTACAGTTTCATGATATTTGCATCTGAGATCAAGAGTTTGTTGTTGGATTAGAACAAAAACATTTAATTAGTTAAAGAAATTATACTCAAGGGAGACATTTTTAGTCTTGACCTCTGCGAGAGTAGCTTTGCATGATTAACAGTTCACAATAATCCATGTTTATGTTACAGTAGGATTTGGTGTAGCACATCAGTTCATCCATTATTTCTTTTAAGCAAATATTTGTTTGATTGGCAGCCTCTTGCAATCAAAAGACTTGAACAGGTGGTGGGAGCTGTAGCTGCTGTGACCATATTAGGGTTATCCCCCCTTATTTACATCAAATGGAGCCAATTTTAGGAACGATTTGTTGTAATATGAGTGCTTGGAGCATTCTGAAGTCTGAGCTTTTGACTCACATAGATTACCTCAACATATCCTCACCTCTTTACTTGAATGTTTGGCTAAAAATCAGCATCCACCACTGTAACAGTGTACATCCACTTTGATATCACTTGCAATCACACTCAAACACACTGCCAGAGGGCCATTTCCACCAACTGCCAGACCGACTTCATGGATAACCTCAGGTATACTAATTTCTTAGATGATGCTTTCACCACATGTCTGAGATCGGTCTGAGATCTCTTGCACTCAAACATTACAGTTCATGATAAGAGAAGCATAACTGACTTACATCGACACCTGTACAGTACAGCCATGCTTCTAGGCTCACCTAAAAAAAAAAAAAAAGCTTCAGCATGTGTTGTGTGCATTTGGTCACATATCCAAAGCATGTATTATTCAAAGGAGCGTATGCATGTGTGCGTGTTTTTGTGCATTCATGTGCAGTGACGCATGTCTGTGTGACTCAGACTAATCCTATTAGGGCTCTCGCCCTCTCTCTCTATATTTACCTCAACCCTCTCCCTGAGATTAACCCGGGTACTTTCTGCAAGTGCCTCTGCAGCTCGCTAAGCACTTTCCTACAGCACAGCTTGGAGTTCACCGGAACCAGGCTCAAAACTATTCACTCTCTCAGTTAATTCTGCACCCTGCCTGTTAAATCAGCCTTAAAAACAGGATACAAAAGAATCAGTATTATGCTTTGATGGCTTAATGGGTGATATCAGACTCGAGCCAGAAAATTAAGCTGCGAAGGGAAGATTGAAACAAGCCCATCCTACCTTTGCAATCCAATTTGTCTTCTTTTTCCATCCCTCCTTTACTCGCTCCCTTCTTGTCTTTAAGTAATAAGATTTCTAGTGTTTAGCTGGTGTTTTAGGGCACACTCACATACACACACATCCTCTGCCCCTCAATTACAGCACTGCCACACCTCCAGCTATCTGTAATCTCCCTTCGAGGACCACAGAGTGCAGGGTGAACAAATTACAGAGAAAGGGGTGAAGACACAGTGAAAGATGCCACTAAAATAACAAGCTTCACAGGATTTAAGGGAAGAGGGGGGAAAAGGCATATGAAACAATATAATGTCTTGAAAGACAGGAGAAAATCTGGATTCCCTCTATGTTTTTTTTTTGTGAGAGCCGAGGAGTTTCAAGGTGAGGTAAATTACTTGTGTATATTTAGCTGCCACTGCACGTACAAAGATTGATGGCCTATTAAATTAGCTTCTAACAAGACACGGCAGTCTTGCTAGTGTATATCAGGAGCTATTGATCAGCTTCGAAAAGTGAAGCAGATTATTGTGAAATAACTTTTCCAAATGTAAGATTTAAGTTTTGACCTTTCTAAGCCTTACAGTAAATCCTCTTTTTTTTCCAGGTAAGGTCCAGTGCTGCTCAATTTCAGATGTATTTCTCCTACATTAGCCTTGGACGTTTCAGTGCAGAATGGTAGTCTCAAATAGATCTGGCACAGCTCAAAGCCACAGAGCCAAATCTAATTTGTGAGGTTATCGCTGTCAATTCACAGCCAGCAGCAACTTCTGCAACAGAAATACAGGCTGGGCAAGACAGATAAAGCATATTTCTTAGCTTTTTGGCCTGAACTGTATTTCTATATCTGAAATTTATCTCTTATGGGTCTTTTTTTTGTTTGTTCTGAACCATAAGTTGTCTCTTGGAAAACACCATTTCATAAAAGCTTTATTCATACTGACTAACTCGTTCTAGCTGGGCTGTTGTATTGTCAGTTTGTCAAATTACCGTGTTTCAATGGGACAACAGGAAGTTTCCTTTTTTAAATTTTTTTTATAAATCGTAAAATTTGCTCCTTTAAAAGGAACCAGCATTTATCAAACAATTACTCCCAATTTAGGGACCTGGCCTGCTGGTTCGTAATGGTGGCATCCTAATAACTGGCCAAACTGAAATAATTTTTGACAAAATAATTGGAACTGCTGCTTTCCTTCCGCTAAATCGTCACGATTAAGAACAAAATGTGGTATCGGTCCCTCTGGATCAATTTTTTATACACCAGTGTGGGGTAATCATTCATTATTTTCATGTAAATTACCATTTGCTGTTCGGTCACAGTAGGATGCAATAGTGACTCAGCTCATGCTTTGTTTGAAATTCCCCCCCTCGAAAAAAAAAAAATCAAAAAACTTTTTGTGTAAACAAAAGTAATTTGTTCAGGATAGATGTAACCACTGTCTACAGATTGTACCTCTAAAACACCAAAGCAGTGACATTTTGAAAAATGGTTCTAGCATTTTTTAAGCTTTAAAGGCCCTGAAGCAGATGTTCCTAATTATTCTTTGATGCTGATGGAATCCAACATGAGCACAAATAATCTGTCAAACTTGTTTTGACTGTTTTTTGTTTTGCGTGGGCAGTAGCAATGCTCCGGATTCACCTGTAAGTGCACCCAAAATGTCACAGACACTCCAAACTTGATTCTTGCTTATTTTGTCGTGCATATTTGTTGAAATTCACAAGACACTAAAATATTTCAGATTTAACATCCTGAGACCTCAGCTCTTGTTTTGGATGGATTTTCTATTTCTCGTAGCTATTTGGGATCAGTCGGACCTGACAGGTCTAAAAACAAAACATTACCTATGAAAAGTGTGTCCTCAAGTGTGGACAATGGGTTCATTTTACTGCACAAAACAGTGACGTCTACAAAGTATAAAACACTTTATTGAGCAGAGTGAAGTACTGAAAACCTGAAATTCAATGCCCTGTGACTACACAGGGTCTCAGGGGTTTCACACTAATGTCAGCCTCAATCACAGTTTGCAAAATGAAACATTTATGGATGCAACAGATAGGGAAAAAAAAAGTCATTATTTCAGGACTGTGCTGTACAAGCCACCACACATGCATATTGTTGAACGTATGTACATAAAACTTCATCTAACCCTCCTTGTTTCCACAGAGGGCCTTTATCCTTTTACATTCCTGTCTTTCATCATGGTTGACCTTTTCCTAAACCGAGTTCTCATCGAGAACAACTGGGACCAAGACGAACTCAACACTGAGCGTGAGATCATGGGGATTCTCGAAAATCGCATCGTCATGCTGTTCTTTGCATCTGCTGAATGTGAAAAGTGCCTGAAGTTTGTGCCTGTTCTGAACGACTTCTTTAAGAGAGTGAAAGATCCAGCATACATCGAATACCCGAAACTGCTCGCACTCATCTACATCAGGTTCCCACATCTTTTTTAATCTATATATCTGTCTTATACATATGCAGTTACATAAATATATCTATTTGATCAGTTTTGAGATTTCCAGATTTCTCTCTCTAGTTTGGACCAATCAGAGGAGAAACAGGAAAAATTCCTCAAAGAGCTGCACAAAAAGGTTCTGTTTCTGGCCTTTGAGGACCCATACAGGAAGTGAGTGTTTAAATATATGTGCATATATTTAAGCTGTTTGTCAGTGCACCTAGTCTGGAGGACCACATCACTCTTTGTACAAAATTAGAGTATATTTTCATGCCAGTCTATTTCTGTTTTTCAGGGAACTGCAGACCATGTTTAAAGTGAAGGATGTACCAACAATAGTGGTCCTGCGTCCCGACGGCTCTGTCCTCTCTCCAAACGCTGTGCGGGACATCTGTCGTTTCGGCTGTGACTGTTTCCAAAACTGGCAGGAATCGGCCGAGCTTGTTGAAAGGAGCTTCATGCTCAACGAGGAGTTTGACAACCTTAACTTGCGCAGTGCCACTGACCCTGTGAGGAGGGTCAAGTACAAGACAGAGGACGACAAACGCAAAAAGAGATGGTGGAAGTTATGGGGGAAGGGAAAAGATGGAAATGAAGAGGAGAAAGATGGAGCATGGGATACCAAGAGAAATGAGGGAGATAACAATACCTGGAGGATAAGATGAGGAAAACATATATCATATAATATATTCTGTATGTTATCACTCAGACATTTAGGAGAAATATTTTTGTTTTAGAAAGAAATTTTTATCTGCTGTTCCAGAAAATTGATCAGAAATGTTATCAAGATTAACTGCTTTAATTCATAATCAGGAATTTATGAATATGAATTTATGTAGAGCTTGCATGCTCTCTCTGTGTTTGGGTGGTCTGGCTTTCTCCAACACTCCAAAGACATGAGTGGGTTTAGGTTAATTTGTGAATCTAAATTCCCTGTGAGTGTGGATGGTTGCCTGTCTCTATGCGTTAGCTGTGCAATAAATTGCTGACCTGTCCAGGGTGTACCCTGTTATAGCTGGGACTGGCTACAGCCCCCTCATGACCCTGAATTTGGATACCAGTGAGAAGATGGATGGATGGATGAATAATAACCGGGAACTGTTTTTTCAACAACCATCAGTCTTTGTTTTTGAGTTTAAGTTTATTTTACCAGTTTTTCTTGGTGTGCCATAGATAGATAGATAGATAGATAGATAGATAGATAGATAGATAGATAGATAGATAGATAGATAGATAGATAGATAGATAGATAGATAGATAGATAGATAGATAGATAGATAGATAGATAGATAGATAGATAGATTTTCATACTGTGTGCACTAATCGTTTTACAAACCAGCACAATCTGGCTCTGTGAGGTGTTTTTTCTCAAGTCAAAGACTCTGATGCAGTTGTTGTCTTGCACAGTTTTGCACTCTGGCTTCCAGCTTCTCTTTCTAATCAAGTTAGAACCAGCTTGGGATCTTCTTTGTAGGGTTAGGTTGGTGCACGCCATTGTAGGGAACAATACAGTTTTGTTTTGTTTTTTTGTTAATTTCCTGAGTGGAATAGCCTTCATTTCCTAGAACAAGAATAATCTGTTGCGCTTCTTTTTATTAACCATTTTGAGACTCACTTTAATGTTGCTTAAGATGAAAACAAATTTCCTTTTCTTAAAAAACCCCAAAACAAGCAGAGAGCAGATGTACGCTATAAAGCAGACTGTTTGAAACTAACATCTACTATTACTGCTCATCTGTTGTTGTGGATACCTACTGTATATGTTGATGGTGTTTTTTCTTTTCTTTATATTTTGTTGCTACTATTCAGTTGGTGATATTCACTACCACAAGAGATGCCACTGTTTTTATTCAGAAAACACAAACATGTACAAACCAATCCTGACTAAATGTGTGAGTATCGATCCCCAGGATTCCAATCTAAAGCTCTACAAATCAATACCTTCTTATTGACTTAGGATCAAATTGCTGTGTATAGCAAGAGAGGACTCACGTGTATACTGGCTACTCCAGCTGTGCAACTCTACAGACTTTCTTCCCTCTTCTTTACCCTTTCTACTGACAATATAATTCTTCTGGCAAAGTAATTCAAGACATATCAGCTCCATTTCCAGTAGCATCAGGCAGCTGTTTTCTGAGCTAATAATCAGTGGAATGTACGTGTGCTGCTCAGCATGATAAAGAAACAAAACGAGAAATTAGCTGGTGAAAAAAGTCCAGCTTTCTGCAGCTAACAGTCAAGATATAATATTTTCTCACTGGGGAGGGGAGACAAAAGTGAATGCTAAAAACAGGTAACAGGCTTAAATTAATCAGATACAGAGACTGATATCTGCTGGATATGTAAACAGGCAACTATTTTCAACCACACTGTTTTTTTGAATAATATTTGGGCAAAAAAAAACCTAAAAATATACATGTAATTGCATTTTTTGGCTACATTTAGGTGCTGGCGCCTGCTTGTTTTGTAACTGAAATTAATGTCTTGTCAGTGTGTTATTTACTTTCATAACACTGTTATTTGTCTTTACTATTCTTTATTAACTACGTCTCCTCAGAGTTTGCACTTTGTTATTGCATAGTTAAATGTGAATTGTATGCTCTCCAAAATCATTAAATTCTCTATCCTTTTAATATAAACAGTGCCTGTATCACTGCTGTGCTTTCATGGCCATATTGTAGTGTTCCCAGTAGAGCAAATCAAACTATCACTACGCACATATTCCCTGCGGCTCTGCTATTCCATTAATTACTGAATATTAAAGGTCTCACAGTGGCTCACTTCATTAAGGTTCTTTTTCTTCTTTTAAGCATGTCTCTCATTCTGTAATTTCTTCGCTCTTTATTCAGACAGACTTGATTGTTCAGTCACTGCTTTCACATACACACACCATCAGTGCGAGCACTTCATGTTCCTTGTCCCTCTGTCACCTTGTCTTTCAATCCCTCCCTCCCAGACATATGAGGGGAGGTGGAGAGCAGGGACACAAAAGAAGAGGTAGTGAGCAGCTACTGCCACCAAGGTGAAGGCGAATGAGGGAATGCGATACGAACTGGCAGACTGGGAAGTGATTCTAGTGTGATAAAGGAAGAGGTGAAAAGAAATATAAGGCTAGATTTTGAAGGCTATTTTCTTTTTGGATTTGCTGCCTCAAGGAGAGATAATATTTGTTAGAGGTAAGCAACTGTGAGGATTATCCGATTTAACAGCAAGCGAGATTATATATGATTACTGTAATCGATTTGGGAGAGTAGAAACATACAGTGAAACACAAGGCAAAACCATTAAAATCGCCCAGATAAATATTTCCAAATGTCAAGACTTTTTACTGCTATTGTGAAGCCTTTAATATTCTAATGTGTGTTATGCTACATGGTTTGAGCTATCATGATTAGCGGTGATGTGCCTACTCTTTCTTGATTAATCCAAAGCATATTAGTAGCTTTGCTTCTCCCTTTGTAGCACCCCTTCATCATGGTGGACTTATTCATTGACCGGGTCCTGTTAAAGAACAACAAGGACCAAGATGAGCTGGACACAGAGCGTGAGATCATCATGCGCCTGCAGAACCGAATCCTGATGCTCTTCTTTGCTTCTGCTACGTGTGAGACCTGCAGGCAGTTTGCGCCCACGCTCTCTGACTTCTACAAACAGTTGACAGATGAGTTCTACGTGGATCGTGCTGCTCAGCTGGTTCTCCTGTACATTAGGTAAAACACACAGAGGCACACATATAGGTGTTTATTAGAACTGTAGCGTCTAACACTGGAATAGATTTTCTCCTCTGTTACTTTATTAAACTAACCTTGTCTCTAGCTCGAATGTAAAATTAAAATGCATGCACGTATGTGCACTTGCGTAATGCATGTATGAATTTCCTTTAAGAAATAAGAACCGCAAGAAAAATGACATTGGGAGTAATTTTTACTGGAGTATATCCCTTTCACTCTCTAGTTTGGACCAGTCAGAGGAAGAGCAAGAAGGTTTCCTCAAAGAGCTCCCCAAAAGGTGCCTGTTCCTGGCCTATGAGGACCCCTACAGGAGGTGTGTGAGATTAGCCAGTTAGAAGTGTATATAACCTGCTAGTGGGTGATGGTAATGTAAATCCATTAGCTCTATGCTAGTGTGTGTGTGTGTTTCCGCAGGGAGCTGGAGGCTATGTTTAACGTGGAGGAGGTGCCCACAGTGTTGGTGCTGCGTCCCGACTGCTCCATCCTCATCCCTAACGCCGTGGATGAGATACTCCGCCTTGGAACAGACTGCTACCACAACTGGCAGGAGGCAGCAGAACTCATTGACAGGAACTTCATGAACAAAGAGGACTTTGAGGAGAAGTCCATGCGCAGCTTCAGCGACCCTGTGAGAAGACTGAAGTATAAGGTGGAAGATGAAAAGAAGAAAAAGAAGAAGAAAAAGCGAAAGGGGTGGGGTGGAGGTGGAGATGAAGGTGTGGAGGCGGATGGAGGAGCGGGCGACAAGGAAGGAGGGGGATCACCATGGTGATTGAGAGCAAGAACGGGAGAAAAACACTGCTGATTTGCCTAAAACTTGCTGCTGTCCTTCACAGCAAAAAATATCGCAGATATTTCAGTAGAAATGTGAAGCTGACCTTATTGTGACTGGCTTTGCTTCAGTGGTACAAAGATCGTGGTCCTACAACAGCTCCAGTGTACAGTATGTGGGCAGCAAACAACAAAAAGAAATATAACACTATCTGCAGGAACACTGACAGCTGCTTTGATTTGGCTGTATTTGATGTCTCTGAATGCTGCCAAGTATACAGTCGAGACAAGGTTTGGTCTGAGCCAAGTCTTGCCATTACGGCTTGTTTTATTACACACTGGAGATGATTATAACCATTTCTCCATTCTCAACAACACGGCTCTGTAATGCACTTTTTTTAAAATGATAATTTGTGCGTCCAATCAAAACACACCATGCATAATCTGAAATCAATGAATTATTCAGCGCCATTAAAATAATTTTGTTAGTGACTGTTTTGCTTTGAGTGTTTGTGAAGTCTAGCTGCACTTTACAGACTACACAAGCAGCAATCAGAGCTATTCAACAGGAGTCAAGTGAAATCATGGAGAAACTGGCTTTACTACACTATCATTGAGCTACTTTGACTGTAAATCATCTTCTCACATAATGAAGACCACATCCAGGCTTTGCACACTTCCTCGCGCATGCAGGCTAATCTGATGAAGCTTTCGATTGATCAGGCAAGATCTTCCTTTGCAACAGTTCCTTCTCTTTGTGACATTTTCTTCCTTCCTCTATATCCTCTAAGTGACCCATGCCTTAACTACATGCTGCCAGTACTTCTAAAATACAAGTACAAAAAGCTAAGGCAGAATGACAGTAATCATAGTAATCACAGCAGCAGCACTGGGGTTGAAATGCATCTCAGAGACAGAGAAGGAAGCCAGAGTATCATCAGGTGTCATCAGGTTTGATTGCTATGGATTGATGTGCTTTAGAAAAGGCAGAGACATGATGATTTATAACAAAGCTCTAACATTACAGCCAGATTGACAAATAGGTCATATTTTCTAGCAGTGCTGCACAAATGTCTGTGCACTGTGCAGCACAGGGTAGCTAACAAACAGCTCATCTCCCCTTTCACCATGATGTGGTCACAGAACTGTAAATGCTAAACTTACATCGGAGCTGGTCGGACCTGTAAAAGGAGACAGATGCCTGAATAAACACAAGCCGCTGTGTGTTTCATATTCCGTTGCTTTTGCCTACACAGCAGCTTTGCTCACTCAGACAAACCTTGACAATATAGCCGAAGCCCCCCCCAACCCCGCCACTCTCTCTGCACAAGTACACACGCGCACGCATAAACAAACGTGCACACACGCAGAAGCGCAGACGCGTTGCGCGCTCTCGATTGCAGAACGCGCAACAAGCGGACCAGCGGATGGAGAGAGAGAAGAAGAGAGACGGACGGATGCAAGGCGAGGCCAGGAACGGGAAACTGTATCTTTCCTGACCGTCCAGCTGTTGTCTTTTCCTTCCCCCCTTAAACCCCAGTATTATTTTATAACGCGATTCTTGCTTCCCCCCCCCTATTTTTTTAAAGCCTGACATTTCTCCATATCCGTCCTGATGTGCCGCTGCACCCCATCACGATTCTTCAAGGATATGCAAAGCGGCTGTTATCACGTCGACGTTATTTTCCATTAAATGCAAGGATGTACCTAATGAACGGCATCGGAGGCGTACGATCAACAATGACAAACGACAGCTGAGCTCGGCGAGCCGTAGAAATCGACGGAGGGGCTCAGAGCGGTCGAGGTTTGTGCGTTAATTTGCGCCTAATTATTGTTTTCGTGTGTGCCCGTTTATTTCCCTCCCTTCATCCATCGGGGCTATAAGGCCTATAGCCCGCATCATTTCTGGGCATGAAACCCGTGGGAATTATGATACCAACGTGACGCACAGTCACACAGCACAGCGGGAAGACATCGAGCCTCTACAGGACGGAGGGAGGGTGTGAGGTCCAGCAGAGCAAAACCCTGCCTCTCGCACTGATCACAGGCGGAGGACGCCCAGTTGTTGCTGGACAAATCACGCTAATGACTGTCGTATAGCCCAGCAGGTCTCGCCCTCCACTAATTCCCCATTGAGTATTAAATTTTTTTTAATGCATCGGGCGCAGCGGAGCGGGAGAAAGGGAGGAGAGTACTGTGGGTGAGGGCGCGGAGAGACGGGATGCGGGAGACGCAGTGAGCGAGGAGGAGGAGGAGGACGAGGGAAACTGGAGGATTGACGGTAAGATATGGATATAGGCTATGAGGATGCACTCCGCCCCTCCTCTCTCTCTCTCTCTCTCTCTCTCGTTCACACGCACAATCGCACATATATGATCAATGCCCCAGAGGACAGCACAGGTGCCCCGCTTCTTTCATTGGTATTGCTTCTGCTTCTGCTGCTGCCAAGGGCCATTTGATCACTGAGTGGACATGGATCCCATGCGCTGCTGTGCTGGGGTTTTTAACGCTGGCTGCCATTAAAGCTTGGTCAGTAGTAGCCATGAGTGTTGTGAAATATTCACAGGCACGTGATTACCCGTCTTTGGAGATCAGAGAGGGGAAAAAGTGTTGTGATAGGGTGTCCCAGACTGGAACGCCAGAGGGGTCTGTCATGGGTGGTGTGATTTGTGTTCATTAACACACACCTTTGGTTGCAGCGTCATGTGTGCTGCAGTGAGCAGTGATGTAAAACACACACGCACACACACAAAAGGGGTTTTAATGCGGGTTTGGTTTGCTGATTCACCACAGATGGGAACATGAGGAGAAAAGAGAAAGAGATGAAGAGAGGTAGCAGAGCGAGTGAGTGAGAGTCCACTATCAATATTTCAGAGAGAGAAAGAGAGGACTGGGTCAGTGGAGGAGGCCAGGCGGAGAGACTGGAGTGACTGTGAGAAAGAGAGACGGAGCGATAGAGAGATGCAGAGGACAAAGGAGGTGAATGAAAGGGGAGAAAGGCTAAGGGAATAGATGGAGGAAGAGCTCAGTGGGTGACAGGACTCCTGCTCTACTGTCAGACTCAATCCCTGATTCATTTGTAGCCAAGGGTGTGCAAAGACATCGTTTGTGTCCTATTAATTATAGATACAAAAACATTGAAAAAGAGCTCATTAATATAGAGAACTATCTGTGAACCCAGATTTTAGAGCGGTGACTCCTTTCTGTTTGTGTGTGTGTGTGTGTGCGTCCGCACTGTGTGTTGGATGAGAAAGAGAAAACAAAGGTA